TTTTTTTTTTTTTTTAAATTTTTTGGGATTTGATGGTCTGGATGTTTTCTATGGCTTGTTGAAGTTGCTTTAGTTTGATTGATGAATGATGTGTAACAGTAGGCATTTGTTTTGTTGGCTCGTCATTTTTCTTTTCCCGGTAGGATTCATGGTAACATTGGCCATCTGTTTGTTTGGATTGTCAAACTTCTCATTTTCTTTATGGTTTTCATGGAGCCACTGATGAGTTATTTTCCCCCATTTTTGCTGTTGTTTGATGTTTATAGTTGCGACTGTGTTCTGTTTGGGACTGTGTTGGAATAAATGTTCCTCACCCATTGTGTGGTGAATGTTGGCGATTGTTATGGTTGGTGGTACGTAGGTTTGATGATAAGCATGAGTAGCTTATATTGATATGTATAATCCCTCTTAACACTTATTTCATACGAATATCGTAGCATCGTTAGACCTTTCCTTGAATATCTTAGTGTGTTCGTCTATCAAAGAGTTAATTTTTATCGTTTTCAATCATTGCCAGTGAAACATATGTGGACTTAAAAAATCAGCTTGTGGCTCCTGAATACTTTAACAGTCTAATTTCCCTTTTAATCTTATTTCAAATGATCTTTTTTTTTTTTTTTTTTTTTTTCGTATCAGTGGGATAGTAATTCCTTTTACCATCTCACACGTAATATATGAGTCTAAACTTCTTGATTATAATTTGTGGGAACTGACATAGCTTCGACTTTCTTGTGAAGCTCAATTAATCTTGGTTTGTCTACCATATTCATATTCTCCATAACTCTGTGCAGAAAATAGGGGTTGATTCATACATTACCCAGGTTATTAATGTTTTGCATTTATTCCTATCAAGGAAGGGGGTAAACAAATGGTTTGTTCTCTTCAAATCTGATTCTAAGTTCAATTTTCTTGTAACAACTCCAATGATGGAGGAGGTGATTCTAGTAAATCACGTGTTTCAGGATGTTCATATCTATAAAAGTACAATTCAATACCAACGGCTGGTTTGGATTACTTTCACTGAAGGG